TTTGTGCCTTGTGTCTAACCATGGATGCTTTTGAGCATAAGCAAACACAAGAAAGGAGTCACACCAGAACAAATAAGTCATTCTTGAGGGGGGAGGGTTGGTGGGTTTTTTTTATGCCCTTTTAGAACTGTGATGTGCAGGTTATGTACAATATTGGGCTCCAGCACCATCTGGGTTTTTTCCTTCAGCTTCCAGTTTTCCATTGCTGCTGATTCTCCCTAAGAATGAAATAAATGGGCAGGGTGGCTTAAAAGGGGAGGGAAGGGGAAATGGGGAGGAAATACCTGAGAAATAAGCCCACAGTGGAGCTTAGTGGCTGCCAATCTGCCTTTACTTAATGTCATAATTTGTAGAAACATGATGCTGCATCTCCTCTACTCTTTCAGGGACTTGGCCTTATCTTCCTCCTCCTTATTAAAGCTAAAGACTATCAATCAGTTTATTTTGCTTTCTTTCTGGTCAGGTATATTCTCTTCTACGCATTTATGTATTAATTGCTTGGAAAGCAGCAGGTAGGAGTAAGGAGCATATTCCAGTCAAGATTTAAATGTCTGAAATTGTTCAATAATGAATAGTGGAGGCACTAATCTAGAATTTGCAAGATACTGTGGGAAGTTAGTGCTGCTGATGTTGAATGCCTCAGCACATGTCAAAGAGGGGTAGCTGTGAATGGATCTTTGTATCAAGAGCAGAATGGAAATGGTTAGAAAACTTGGCTGAGAAGCTTCTGTTCAGCCTTCCAGGTAGAAATGGTTTGGGGTCACAAATCTTACTTACTGTGGAGAAAATAACTGGAAACATAATTTTTTGTTGTGTATGCTGGAATCCCGTAGGCACAAATATCTGTCTACTTCCTTGTCCACATAGATTCCTGTTAAAGAATAGTTTTCTGGCAGTGCGCTTCCTTTCGCAGTGTGCAGTGACAAATTGTGTTAGAGATTTTACTAATGTCTTTGTATAAGGAACACACACTTGAGAGCTGGGAGACATCTAGACTGTAATTTGTAATGAATATATCCAGCGTTTAGTCTGTTTAGATGTATTTTGTTGTTTTATCAGAGTTGCCATTCAAACTAGAGATCTAAATGCTTGGCATTTCTCTCCCAAATCATGCAGCATGTGCCACAGCCACCCAAATTTCTCATCTTTTCAAGGCTGTCATGTGCTATGAGGTTGCATTATGTCTGTTCTGGAATTTGGGGTGTTGTAGAGAGGAAAAGCCTAAAATTTAAGTCTGAAGAATCAAAACTCTCCTTTGATGTGCTGTTTGGACATAGAGCACAAGCCTATTTCAGGTCTGCAGCTGTGGTTGTAGGTGGAGCTAACCTGCCCTTAGGAAGCCACGACAGATGACTTGGATAAAGTGCAGCATCATGTATGCAAGCTGCTCAGTGGATACAAAATTTAACATCATTCAGAAACATTTACTTTTTCTGTTTGACAAACTCCCACATATTCCTTGGAATGTATTTTAGGTGCTCTGCAGAAAGCATTCCCATGGCCTGTTTGAGGCATATCCTGGTATGTCCTGAAGGACCCTAGAATATGCCAGATGGGCTTCATAGCCAAGGCAGAGCAGCCATGCTCCTGGAGAGGTCTGGCAGACAGTATTTCCCTGTCACTGCTGGACATCGGTTCTGCCCGCTCTGATTTATTGAGGTGGCAAAGTGCTTTTCATAGATCATGCATAAGCTTACGGCATTCATGATTTCTTAACATTTCCCAAATGGAATTACCTTCAAGATTTATGGGAGCTAAATATCCTCTAATTTGCTCCTTTTTTCCCCATATGGATATAATATTTCCCCCAAAACTGTTCCTCCCCCCTCTTAAATGAAGCAGAAGTATGAATCAAAAATCAGTTTCCTTACCTGTGTGTACATTAGCGTTAAATATAACAATAGGTGGTCCAAGGCTATATTGTGTTCTTTGCTAAAAAAAAAATCCTTAAGTTTACTTGTAGTAAATACAGTAAAAAGGCCAATGGTCACTTCACCCCTCTTTTTGGACATCACTTTGGTCCCCTGGTCATCAGATGCAGAAGGGACACCACAGAGCATGAGATCAGTCCTGCTAGTGCTTCACGTGATCTGGGGGACTCCAGGGAGTCCCAGGAGGATCTGACTTTCCTTCTAGTTTAACCAGGCACATTGTGAGGGGGAATCTGCGTTAGGGACAGACACTGCATATTCCATAGGACAATAAACTAGCTTATTCTGCTGTCTGACTTGCAAACAGGAGAGTTAATTGCATCTATAAATAATACCAACTTCTGAGTTGAGTTAGGCCTCACCTTACAGCGTGTACCACCTTTCTCATGCTCTTTGAAAAGGTGAACTGTCTACATTTTTTTATTTACATTGCACTACTTTGTAGCAGTATTGTAGGGAATCTTCTTGATTCTTGAGAGGAGAATGAAACTTGTTCATATATGTATTTTCTGATCCAAGTTCTTCCTGAAGACCACATGTCACAGCAGCAACCAGAGCAGCTTTGTGACCTAACAAACCAGCCCAAAGGTGCTGGTCACCGCCAGGCCTTACAATCATTCTTCACTGCAGCTGCTGCTTAGGGAGAAAGGGGAATGTTCTGTGGGGCCTGGCTTCTGGCCTGTGCTATTATTTCAAGTGGTAGCTGTAAAGGAAGAGCTGTGAACATCTGTGCTGTAGCCATTCAGGTTATAAAAGCTCTTGCACTGTAGGAGAATCCTTCAAAGATTCCTCATATTGATTCTGGAAGAAGGTGGAGATAAGTCATAGAATCATAGAATAGTTAGGGTTGGAAAGGACCCTGAGATCATCAAGTTCCTACCCCCCTGCCATGGGCAGGAACACCTCACACTAAACCATATCACCCAAGGCTCTGTCCAGCCTGGCCTTGAACACCGCCAGGGATGGAGCATTCACAACCTCCCTGGTCAACCTATTCCAGTGCTTCATCACCCTTACAGTAAAGAACTTCCTCCTTATATCTAATCTAAACTTCCCGTGTTTAAGTTTTAACCCCTTGTCCTATCACTACAGTCCCTAATGAAGGGTCCCTCCTCAGCATCCCTATAGGACCCCTTCAGATACTGGAAGGCTGCTATGACATCTCTGCGCAGCCTTCTCTTCTCCAGGCTGAACAGCCCCAACTTTCTCAGCCTGTCTTCATACAGGAGGTGCTCCAGTCCCCTGATCATCCTTGTGGCCCTCCTTGGAGACCCCTGAGTATAACAAAATGCTTATACTTAAGTGCAGCAAGGTGCTTGAAAAAATGCTGAACAAATTTGTCAGGTTATTGAAGTTTTTAGGATATTTTCAGACTATTATTGTATCCTGGGGTTGGTTGGTTTGTTGTTTGTTTTGGTTTTAAATAGACCTTCAGGTATTGGTGGTTTTACTTAAGATCGTCAGGAGCTCAAATATATTTAACGCATCTTTCCCACTTTTTCCCAGGCAAATCTACATAGATCCTTTAGTATCCTCAGCTCTGGAAAACATTTCTTTCCTTCTGGATCAGCTATGTAATCTGTTCATCCTGCCCTTACAGTTATAGATTATCTTATTAAAGATTGCATGAGTGGATGTGAAGTGCTATGCATGGCTGGCTTTGAGTCTTCTTATTCTGTTAAATACCGTTGGTCTTTCTTTCCCCTCCCAAGCTCTGATTTACTGGGCATCTGTGATAGAACTATACTTCAAGCAGTTTGTAATTTGGAATTTATTCCATCCTTTCGTCACTGTGCTGCTGTCTGAAATTGTTGCTCTGTACTTGGCTGTGGCGTAGTGCAGGTGAGTTTATCTTAAATCAGGTAGTTCAAGTCCAAAAGTTATCTGATTGCAGTACCATGGAGTTGCACACTCAGTGCAAAAACAGCCTCGAGGGAGGGTTAAATCAATGCATTACGTCTATCCTGTTATAGTACCTAGGTTAGTCAGGCTGTCCTTATTTTAGACACCTGTACCTTGCACTTGCAGTGTGGTTGTAGTGGAGATGTACTCTCTGGCTCTGAACATGCAGTAAGTACATTCCTTTCTTCATTTTCATAGCACAGTGTGATTGATTTTGATCCAGAGCATCCCTCCTACTGTTTTGATATGATTGAATGAACATAGTATTAGCATATTTTCTAGCAATGATCTTCATACTCGAAAATGATTCCATGTGAAAGTTGATATTTTTGCAGTTTCTCTTGTGAATCATTTCCTTCTATCTGGCCACTGTACTAATTGTTTCTAGAACAGACACATTTTTAGTAGCTGCTGTGTTTGTCTGTTGAGGGTGTAATTAGGATAATGTATTCTCATAATGACATGGTTAAGAAGGACTATTTCTCTTCCTTTGTAAGTGATTTTGGATAAATCACAACTGTTTGGTTTGGCAAGGACCTCTCTTGAGTCATTTATATGATAATGAATGCAGAAGAAAACACCTACATCTGTACTGAATTTCCCTTCTCTGTAAACTGAGTGCTGCATCATGATCTCCTGAAATGTTTCCTTTCTTGCGTGTGTTACAGTGACTGCTCTGTGTGTGCATGATTGAGGCAGAAGCAGCCATGAGAGCAGATAACCCCAGCCTTGCTCTCCACATGCATTCACACCTGCACAGAGCAGCACACATGTATGTAATCAACAATATAAAGGCAACTCCACACCCCTTCCTCAGATATTCTTATAGACAGCACATAAATTGGCTCGTTCTCACAAATCTGAAAGTTAAATGGCCTAAAGTCTGGTTGCAATTTACAACTTACTGTATCTAAATTAATAGCCAGACAATAGTGGAGAAGTTCTAAGTTGTTGAGTGGAAGTGATTGCCAGGCTCACAACTTGAGTGATTTGGGTATTCTCATGGCACAAATCCTGACAGATTTCTTGAGTAAAAGTAAAATCCTTCATATTTTTGCCAATGAGAATGTAGAATCAGCACTTAGGAATGGATTCTCTCAACCTCCCTACAGAAATTTATCGTTTATACTTCGGGAGTTAATTTCTCTCTCATTTTGGTTTTCTCAGGTTCTCGAAGCCGGCACCAATGTTCTTGGATGATTCCTTCAGGAAATGGGCTCGTATCAGGGACTTTGTACCCCCCTTTGGAATTAAAGGACAAGGTATGAGAAAACTGTGAAGTTGTTGGAAAAGAAGGTAGTTTTGCAGATACTTGCCCCATCTTGTTCTTCCATTTTGAAAGTACAGGTGGTCCCTTTGGCTTGGGTTTTTTCTCCTATTTGAGAGAAATATTGTACATGTAGCTCTCAGAAACACAGAAGGGTTTTCGCAGCTGGAACATAGACCTCAGAGGCTGGTCTTAGGGGTGATGATTACATGGGGAGAATCAGTGCAACAATGGTAATTTAGGCCTACCACCATATTCTGGCAGAAGCATTTTGACTCTGACTGCTGTAGCATCTTTGCTGACTGTAACAGAAAGTCCAAACTGATTTAAAGTACTGTTAAATCAGTAATTCTCTAAAAAAGAGGAAGGACTCCTCTTCCTGAGTGTTGGAGCCTTAGGTTTGACCACTGATACAAACCTTCATTTTTTTTTTTTTTATAGCATTTGGTCATGTAATTATTTTATAGTTGTGCTATTTGTTGACTTGTATAACAAATAGGAAAAATCTGTTCAGATGCTTTGATGATGACTTGTAATATGCCCTGTCCTCTGGGGACTGGACATGTCTGAAGTGTGGCAGCAAGGTCTGTGTCTCAAGTATGCCATGGGGAGAGCATGAGTGGTGCTGGTAGTGATGAGGTGGGAGCCAGTAGACCACCCAGCAGAAGATATGTTTTGCAGGTGCTACCAGTGGCCTCTCTGAGTGAGTGTAGTGGTGGAGGAGAAGGCTTATGTTCACTGCAGTGAACTGCTGCAGACTTCCTGAAGTCTGATATATTTATTGAAAAGTGCTCATGGCATTGCATCAACCTCCAAGGTTTTTTTCCCAGTGACACATTCAAGATTACAGATGGCCCCCATGGGAATTTAAATACCTGCTAGAGAAAGAACTGCAGCCACAGTAGGCTTGGGTCTGTATCTCTCCCTGGAAGCAGGTGTTGTCAGAACAATCTCTGATCAAATCAAAGGATCTACTGACAAATTTCTCTTGGCTTGCATCAATTCCCTTCTTTGTTTTGTGTATGTCCTTTCCTTGTCCAGTCAGTCTTTCGCAGCTCAATAGGCAACTAATTGCTGTCCTCTAAATCAGCCAGCAGTTTGCAACAGGGAAATAACAGTGGCAGCACAAGTGGAAGGCTGTGTTGGCCATAGCTGGGCTTGTGCCCTTCTAGGAGACACGCAAGGTGTACAAAGCTAGGGCAAGCTGCCTGACCAACGTGGAGGTGGGAGTTGCAGATTAAAGATGATGTAAGCTAGACCTAATAAAAATCGTTCTGTTAAACTGAATCCAAATGGAGAAATTCACCGAAAAAGGGGATGACGGAATGGCTCTGGCAGCCTTCTCCCTGGGTTTGGTGCCAGCTTGTATCACCACCGCAATGTTATGTAAATCTGATGTTTTGTATTGGATTTCCTCAGTTAAAAAGAGAAATGAGAAATTGCCATTATTTAAATGGCTGTGAGCTGAAGCCATGGGATGGAAACCGTTGAATGGGTTATTTTTTTTAATGCCCTCCTGGGACTGAATTTTGTGCCAAGTTTAAGTCTGGAGCAAGTTCTGTGTGTGGGAGGGTTGAATTATAAATCTCTGTAGCCCAGGATTTCTAATGGCTGTGCTGACAGGCTGTGAGTCCTAGTGATGCGAATGGTGCCCTTTCATGTTACACATCACTTGGAATTCTTGCATCAGTCTTTTCTGGCTGTCCCACGGGATGCATTCGGGCTCAGCTGAGTGATTGGATGATGGGATCAGCACCTCATTAGGGCTTTCAGTCAGGGCAATCTAATGATATCCAAACAACTGATCCAGGCAGGCAGCATGGAGCTCAGTCACGTGCTGGTGCGAGATGAAGACTATCAGAGCTGAGATGTGCATGGGAAAAAGAGTAGTCAGGGTGGCTGAGAAAGTGTAGCGAGATGCCTGTGTTGAAACAGATGGGGCAGAAGTTCTTCTTTGTGCATTATGAAGCCCCGTGACACCATCAGCTGGGATTTCTGACGTGCATCATACTGGGAAAGGCGGTCGGTGTTTATAGATACTGACTGCAGCTGGGTTGGTAATAGGAAGATTACCCTGAGAACTGCAGTGAATATCACCCAGTGTTTTTGAGACACTGTGATCTAGTCCAAGTGCAAGATGGACTTTTTTTTCTTTTTGTGTGTGTGTGAAATAGAGCTAAAAGATGAGCTCACTTTCAGTAATGATGCATGTTCCAAGAAACTTCTAGAAACTTATCTGTGGTAGCTTGAAAATGCTAAAGTTATGAAATCAAGAATTTCTTGAGAGCTCAGAGGCTAATACACCATTTCTGCTTTCCTAGTTAAAGTTTCTCTCTGTTTTTCAGACTTTCAGATAATTTTTCCTTTGCTTTGTCTCTGAAAAAAAATGAGATAAATCCTTTTTCATCCATCATTTGCTGTTTACTGGTCCAAGAAAGAAAATTTCAAGATTGCAATCTTTAGGGGAAAGCAGCTTTTGAGGAGCATTGTCTACTGAGCTGCACTAATTTGGAGTAACACGTCTGTATAAATTACATGTAAAAGAGTAGAAGTGGCTCAGAAATTTTCAGGGCAGGTCTACTGCTGTTTAAAGGTGATCATACCGAGGAGAAGGCAGTGCGCTGATCGTTTTGACGCAGTTCATCAGGGATCTTCATGTTCTTCAAAAATAATGTGATTGTAAAGACAGTTATTCCATCTTCAGATGCTTAAAAGTACTCAATATAACATAGAAAGCTTAACAATGTTTCTTTATAAAAGAATGATTGCTACTTTTGTCCACTGGTCATTTTCTGGTTTGGCCATTAGCCCATGCTGTGGGGTTTGATGACCAGCGTCCTCCACTCTCTCCAAGAGCATTTGCGTGTAAAAGCCCTCAAGGTGAATATGGTTCTGAACATGAAAGTTTTTATAGACTTTGCCCGACACGATGGTGGTTCTGAAACAGACTATTGCTGTAGGAATAACGCACATCTCATAACAGATTGAAAACTGCTGTTATCATTAGTTAACCACCTTAGTGATTACTTGTCTGCTAAAGAAGCGCAGGAATAAGCATGTGGTGACCCTACTACTTTATGAGCAGGACTCTCTGAGATGAGGCACATACTGGGAAGTCTTTTACAAATTCTTTTTGAACAGTGGTCTCTTAGTAACCTCTACAAGGTATTAGAAATAGATGAAGACTGCACTTACTTTAAAAAATGAGATTGTTAGTGCCTCTTTGAGCTTGCTGTCTCCTCTCCTACTATGTGACTTGACAGAATCTGGAAATGGGTTGTGCCACTGTGAGCACTTGGAAATGATAACTCCATCTCTATTAATAAATAAAATGGCTATCCTCTGGTCCTTAAGGCAATTGAGCTCATTGTTCAAACAGGTTCACTCCCTGCCCGCCCCCTCCAAGAGGGTGGCTATATCCAAGCTTCCTATCAAGAAAGGTCACTGGCCTGAATTAGCTTGTGACCTTATGAATGCGTGAGAATTATTGAGGGGAGGATATTTGGCCCTGCTGAAAACCATCAGGGACTGTGCTAATGTTTTAATAGTGCAGGTTCATGTAGAAGAGTGTGGGCCTATGCCCTGCTGCTGATTTGTTTATTAGTGTGTATGTAGCCAGAGCAGGGGGATGTCATTCAGGAACACAATGAAATTAGTCAACCTTAAGTTGTTGAGAAGACCAAACTGTAACAGAAAGTTGGAACTCCAAAAGCTACAAATGTCAAGATGTCCTGTGGGGGACAGCTCAGGCTGCCAAGTACCCTCCTATGTCCCAGGCTATTGTTTCGGCATTAACTGGGATGTTGGAGTGCCTCTCACATTTCACCATTTGTGAGGGTCTAATTTGCTTGTAGGAATTCTTCTCCCCCAGCACCCACCAGGCCTACTCCTGCAGCTTTTACACTTCAGATCAAGGAGACTGCAGCAATCTCAGGCTCTTGAATGAGTTGCATGAAGATTGTTTCCTTTTTATTGAAATTGAAATGTCTTCTTTTGTATTTGCACCCTTTTATAGCAGTGTTTCTATCAGTGTAACTTATGGAGGTATGAATATGCACATGTTGTACATATTGTTGCAGAGATTGTCTAGCATGTGCACTGCTTTTAGGGTTAAATTTGTCAATGAATAAGAAATGGAAAAATTGTTTATAGCATTACTGAGATTATTAATCCCAGAGGGCCTCCTCCCTGAATTTACCTCTGTAGCTATAGCAAAAGGAAAGAGTTATTAGGAGAAGGACAACAAACAAGACTGGAGAAATACCTGACTATTAATAGAATTTCTCAGTATATGTGGCTTAAAGAATATAAAAGGCTTTTCTAAGGAAAAGTAGCTAGTATCTGGCATCCTCTCTGTGTGATGAGGATGGGAGAGTTGAGTTGCTGCAGCTTTTTTTGAACTTAAGTGAAAACATATGGCACAGCATACACAAAAAAACTGAACAGACATGATCATGTAATATCTATTCCATGCAGTTAGTCAGTCATTGTGTCATTGCTTAGCAGTAATTATAGGTCTTCACTTCTATCTTTGTTCCTTTCAGATTGTTTTAAGCAGAGAGGCCCTGAATCAGTTTGTTATCAATTGTGATATTCATTTCTTAGGGAGTGACTCTCTTATCACCATCTTAAAATTTGCCTCTCACCAGGAATCTAGGAAGCAATTTGTCCCCTGTGGTGATACGAGAATATAAAGAACCATCTCTGGAATGTGTTCAAAAACTGTATAGATGAGGTCTTTAGTGACATGGTTTAGTGGTGGACTTGGCAGTGCTGGGGTAAAGGTTGGACTTGATGATCTTAAAGGTCTTTTCCAACCTAGTTGATTCTATGATTCTGTGTTTAAGTGCTACAGTTTTATCAAACGTAGTATGTACATACTGGCCAGGAGACTTCATCTTTTCATCTGATACAAGAGGGGCATCTGGAAGTGGTGACACATTTGATGACAAAGAAATCAAGTCTTTGCCCAGAGCACCAATGCTAATAGATGCA